TATACTCTATGTCAACTTTTTCTTGCTGCTTTCAAGATTCTCTTTTTGGCTTTTATTAATTTCAATAAAATCTGCCTCAGTGGGGTTCTTTCTTTATTTCATTTTACTTGGAGTTTGCTGAGCTTCTTGTATGTGTACATTACTTTCTTTTTTTTAAACTTGGAAAGTCATTATTTCTTCAAATATTTTCTCTTCCTGTTTTTCTTTTTCTTCTCCTCCTGGGACTACCACATGCTCATGTGGTTTTATAGATAATACACTATAAGTCCCTTATACTTATCTATTCTTCTTCAATATTTTTTTTCTGTACTTTAGACTCAATAATGTCTATTATGCTGTATTCAAAATTACTGATTCTTTATCTTCCTGCTCAAATCTGTCTTTGGATTCTTCTAGTTATTGTTTTATTTATTGCAGTTTTCAACTTCATAATTCTTTGTTCCTTTTCTACTCTATTTTTATTGAGGGTCCTATTTAGTCCATACATTATTTTTCTGACTTTCTCTGTATCTTCTTTAGTTCTTTGAATATCTTTTAGTCAGCTGTTTTACAGTCTTTGAATAGTAGAACTGCCATAAAATCTTTGGTCAGGAACAGTAGCATTGATATTTCTCCCCTTTTAAACAGGCCATATTTTTCTTCTTCTTTGTATGCTTTGTGATATTTTTTAACTGAACATTTAATCTAATAATGTGATAATCCTGGAAATCATATTTCCCTTTTTTCTGGGTTTGCCTTTAACACAAAAAAAGTCTTTGCTTAGTTTTATTTTTATATTTTTTATTTGTAGTCTGTTACTGTATCAAAGATTAGTTTGAGGTATAAATTTATGGTTTTCTCCAGTGTTTTCTGAGCCTCAGCCACATCCTGGGCACACACAATTTATGTCTAACTCTTACAGCATAGATAGTTGTATTTGTGTGCCCTAGTCTTTAAAGTCTGCAAGGTGTGAGCAAACTGCTCTAGAAGCATGTGCACAGCTCCCTGTCACAAGGCTGGGCATAATAGATGGGTTGATGACTGTATTAAGAGCTACAGTAAGTTACAATTTACTCCCCAAGTCTTCCCCTGGAAGTTGCAAGCCTTCAATAGACTCTAGGGTTCCAAAATAGTTACAGATTCTACCAGTGCAATTATGGTCTCAGTGAGGAAACAGATACTTGGTACTTCCTAATCTTACATCTTCTCCAAATCCTCTTTATTTCCCTTGCTTTTGTAAAGTGTCTATGTCTAAACAATATGGTGTTTATTTTTGTTATGTTTTAAATGTATAAAAATGGTATTATAATGCATTGTTTTCAAGTACTTAATTTTTCTTTTTTAGCATTTTATTTCAACAACTTAAGCATATTCTTTTTGTGAAACTCTAATAATAAATAAAATATGAGACATCTCATACATTAATATCACACTTTGAGGAACTACCATTTTCCAAATTGTTGCATTAATTCCAAGGGATCAGAGATAAATTTATATGGCTACAGTGGAAGATATTGTCCATGGCTTTGATTTTTGCAACAGTTGTATATAGGCTTTTTTTTATGACAGTGATAGAAACGGAAGATAGAAGATATCCAATAATTCAGACTAGTGCCTATAAGTACACAAAGATGTTTTCTGAGTACAAGAAGTTGGTGTGTGTATAATCAGAGTGATAAATGATAATGGGAAAATACAATAAAAATAAATTATTAAAAAATTAAATTAAATTAAAAAATTCAATGTAAATAGACAAATGAGAGATTCAGGAAGATATCTATAAAGACACAATTGCATGCATAAATTTTCTAGGTTTGTGGTTGTATCTCTTAGCATTTACTGCAAAATAAAATATCCCAAATTTTAGTAACTTGAATAACTAAGTCATTATTGCTGCCTTTGCCTGTGGATCAGCTAAGAATCTTGTCTTGCCTCTTGACTGTGTGTCTAACAAGCACTTTTGCTAAATTCTCAAGTGCCCAGTGCCTCTGTTGGAACACTTCGTATCTCCTGCATGTGGGTGCTGATAATCCAATAGACTATCCTGGGCTTGTCCTTTTTACTTGAAAAGCCTTGAATAAAATGCGTAGTTGCATTTTATTTTGTTGATGGTTTCCTTTGCTGTGCAAAACAGTTTGATGTAGTCCCATTTGTTAATTTCTTTCATTTCCCTTGCCTAAGGAGATATATCAAGATAAAATATTGTTATAAGAATATCTGAGATTTTACTGCCTATGTTTTCTTTTAGGATTTCAATGGTTTCAGGTTTAACATTTAATTCGATAATCCATTTTGAATTTATTCTCACATGTAGTATAAAAAAGTGGCCTAGTTTCTTTCTTTCTTTCTTTCTTTCTTTCTTTCTTTCTTTCTTTCTTTCTTTCTTTCTTTCTTTCTTTCTTTCTTTCTTTCTTTCTTTCTTTCTCTCTCTCTCTCTCTCTCTCTCTCTCTCTCTCTCTCTCTCTCTCTCTCTCTCTCTCTCTCTCTCTTTCTTTCTTTCTTTCTTTCTTTCTTTCTTTCTTTCTTTCTTTCTTTCTTTCTTTCTTTCTTTCTTCGCACTTATCTGTCGAGTTTTCCCAATGCCATTTATTGAATAAACTATCTTTAGGTCATTGTGGTTTCTTGTTCCCTCTGTCAGATAGTTATTGACTATAAAGTTGTGGGTTTAATTCTGGGTTCTCTAATTTGTTCCATTGATCTTTATGTCTGTTTTTAGGCCAGTACCATGTTGTTTTGATTACTATGATCTTATACTATAGTTTGATATTAGATAATGTGATTCCTCCAACTTCGTTCTTTCTCAAGATAACTTTTGCTATTTGGGGCCTTTTGTGGTTCCATATAAATGTTTGAAATGTTTGTTTTAGTTCTGTGAAATACAGCATTGGTATCTTGATAAGAATTATGTTGAATCTATAGATTGCATTGGGTAGGGGGAACCAATAAAAAATAAAAAGACAACACATTAAATGGGAGAACCTATTTGCTGATACCCCTGATAAGGGGTTAATATCCAAAATATATAAAGAGCTTATAAAACTCGACACCAAAAATAAAATCCCATTAAAAAATGAGCAAAGGACCTGAATAGACACTTCTCCAAAGAGGACCTACAGATGGCCAATAGACATTAGAAAAGATGCTCAACATCACTAATCATCAGAGAAAGGCAAATCAAAACCACAGTAAAATATCACCTCACACCTGACAAAATGCCTATCACAGTAAATCAACAAACATGCATCAGCGAGAATGTGGAGAAATGGGAACACTTTCTCACTGTTGGTGGGAATGTAGACTGGTGCAGGCCTTGTGGAAAACAGTATGGAGATACTTCAAAAAATTAAAAATAGAATTGCCTTATGACCCAGAGATTCCACTTCTAAGAATTTATCTGAAGAAACACATAACACTAATTCAAAAGATTATATGCACCCCTATGTTCATTGCAGCATTATTTACAATTGCCTAGATATGGAAGTAGCCCGTGTCCATCAATAGATGAGTGATAAAACAACTATGGGATATTTACACAATGGAATAACACTTGGCCTTAAAAAGAAAAATTTACCCTTTGAGACAGTGTGAATGAACCTGGAGAATATTATGCTAAGTGAATATTATGCTATTAAGCCATTCAGAGTAGAACAAGTACCATCTGATTTCACTCATATATGGAATCTAACAAACAAACTGAACTAACATGCAAAATAGAACAATAGAGAAAACACAGGCTGACAGCTTGGGGGAGGGGGGTTGAGGGTGGAGAGATCAAGCAAAAAGGAAAAAGGACTCATGCACATGGACAACATGTGGTGATTGTGGGTGGGGTTAGGGTATAAGGGAGACATGTGGTATTAGAAAAAAACACAATAAAAATAAATTTAAAAAATAAAGTAAAATAAAAATAAATAAAAGCTTTAGTTGCAGTACAACAATATGTTTACTTCTACTGCAAGCTACTGACCAAGCCCAGCATAGATATAAGTGAAATGGAACTAGACACTTTTAATGGGCAACTCCCCCAAGTCCAATTGTGAAGGGCCTGGATACAGGAAAGAGTTAAGTCTTACAACCATTTTTACAAATCTCTGTGGTAGTATTGAAGTGTGTGATTTATCCCTATCTCTATTACGCTGAGCTGACTCTGACAAATCAGCTCTTTGTCTTGGCACAGTAATTGTATAAAATGTATTCTGAAATGTAAGGAGGCAATGAAATATCACAAATTTATTATTTTCTATAACTATTATGAAAATAATTAATTATACTGTTGACATTATTGTAAAAAAATCTCGTAGTAGCACTAATAATATCTCAACCCTACTTTGATAAGGTGGAACTTCTTTTACATTGCTTGCAACTTAAACAGAAATATTGACCCCTATGGTTAGAGCGCCCTTCTGTATGTGTTTTTAGCTACTGCTGGGAAGTCTAAATGAGGTTGTTGTTTTGTCAGAACACACTTTATTTTGTAACAAAATACTCTGATGTTTGGAAAACTGAGTTAATAACTATGTCTCATTAAAAATAGTAATCACTTCTTGGCATCACATCAATAGGTGATCCCTCACAAGGAAGGCATTTAAATATTATTGATAATTTAAGCTTGGAGTTATTGTAAAGGCTGAAGTATTAGCAATTCAGATCTGAATGCCAGCTACTGGCAGATACAGTTTTTGGCAAATTATCAAATATCATCTTGTACTTCTTTTAAAGCCAATTTCCCTAAGCTGTGTTCTGCAGAAATTAATTTTATGACATTAGTCATTTAGAGAATACTTATTATCTCTTTTCAGCCTCTTGACTCACAAAGCTTTGACTTACTCCTAGAAATTGGTAAGAAATGTGGTAAAATTATAGGTGATATAAGTGTAAATGGGGTGCATGTCTCCTTTGTGGATAAAATAAATGTTTCAGTGTATAAATTATATTGTATCTATTTTGAATGTTCACAAGACTTTTTAATTTTGCTTTCTGCATCCAGACTACTCTCCAGAATGTTGAGATTGCCAGAGAAGTGACTTCTGAAAAAAGAAAAATATTGCTCTACTTAAACTCAAGTAAGATCATTACTTTTCAATATTCCATTGTGAATAAATGGTAAAAAAATACAACTCTTTACGTTGTTATAAGAGAGTCATTTTCTTCAATGTTAAGCTTTGTGAAGCTTCTTTATTTGTTCTACAACAAATATCAAACAAAATAATCTTCTGGTATGGGTAGGGTAACAGCATGGCAAATGCATGGTGATGTTTAGTAGTCAGACTGTATTTGGACATATCTTCCTACCGTATTCATTTAAACAGCTATATTGGATTTTTGTTACTTTAATGAGCATCATTCAGAGGAATAATCAATATTAATCAACTTTTCAAAAACTGACTTTGTGTGAAGGTGTCCGTGACTCTTTACCAAGATGAGGACTAGCATCATACATTTCAGTGAATGCTGAAATCCTGGAGAAAGAGTAGCTATGCAATAATCCAAAGGGAGGCCTTGATAAAGCATTTCTCAAAATGCTTCACCCCACTAGAGCCTGTGGAACTATTACATCCTCATTTGTTTATTGAGAACAAAGGATGAAAAGTGTGAAATTGTAAAATAAATTACATAACTACAGAAAAGGAGCATGAGTCAGGAAAGACATCAGTTTGAAGATGAACATCATCTATGACATTAGTGAAGGGATGGATGTTCCTTTTGGAAAGATTCTAACTCTATTTGCTATAAAATCAGAACCTGGATGCCAAAGTTTTGGATAGAATTGATTAAATTTCTTATCTTGATGATTGTTAGAGTATTTTTGAGTTTTTATTTTCTGTCAGTACAAGGATGTCCAATGCAGTTTTAGTGAAAATCATAAAACCCATTGTCATCTATTATGTTTAAATGAATGCTGATACTTCAAAGTGTATTATATAAATATCGTTGTATTAAGTCATATTTAAGTGTAATATATAAATGACAATAATTTTTCAGAATGTATATCTGTGTATTGTAAAAATCATAGAGTTCTAGGAATGGGTGCACTGTTGCAGAAAGCTTATTAGATTATTTGTACTGGGTTCTCAAAAGTTATGTCAAGGTTCAGAGACATTTAGGATTACAAACAATTAAGTCTATATCTATTGTTGTTACTAAACATTCTTTTAGATATGGAAAACATAGTGTGCTATATTTGTCAAAGTATCACCCAAATAGGGATGGGTTACTAATAGACTGATTGTTCTTTCCTCAACTAATCCTGATCCCTAACCACCTGTATCTAGGTAGCTTTTTCCTCATCATTAAACACCATATTATCATGATTTAAATAAAGTCAGAAAATTCTATTGCATAGTTTCTTAGGCACCAATAAGAACTCATAGTACACCAAAATGGTGGATTATATCCAAAGTTTTCAAATAATTTTTCATAGTTAGGCCTTTTTCAATAGTTATACTTCTTTCTCATTAAACTATTTTAATGAAGCTTGATCGATAACAAAGAGGAAAATAGCATTCTTTAACAAAATTGAAACAGGCGTGATTGATCTAGGATAACCTGTTCTTTCTCCCACTGCCTTTCCTTACCTCTGAATTTATTCCTTGTTTCCCCAAACCCTTTAAACTTGATGAACATTTATATTTCCTGGAGCCCTGTGATTCCTTGGTTTGTCAGCCTTCCATTTTGAAGCCCATGAGGAAAAATAAATTAACTAAACAGAGACAGAGAGCAAACTGTAGAGGTAGAAACTACCCAAATTATTTTGTGCTAGCCAGAAATGGCAACGTTATTGCTCTGCAAGAGATGGTCTTCTATTACCTACTTACAATCTCCCAGTACCACAGGTAGCCCTGTATGTTTTCACTGCACCATTGTGTTAAGTATCATATATTGTAAACCTTGACAGAATCCCAAGAAAGGTTACATATAAGTGAAGAAAGAGAAACAAGCCATACTAAGGAGAGATGACAATTTATTTGACGGTGACTATTTTAATCCTCAAAGCACCTTCTTCTGCAATGACAAAACAAATATTTTATTAAAAATATATCTGGATACATTTCTAACATTTTTCTCTCTTCTTAGGTAGCTATTTTTTCTTTCCATATTGTTTTTTAAAGAGTTTAACATACTTTATGGAGAAGCAACACGTTTGATTTGATATTATTTTGAAAGAGGATGAATAAAGAGGAGAAACAGTAAACAGTATTAGAACACATAGATTACTCACATTACCTATTTTCTGATACTTTACACATAAGAAATATTTTAAAACTAAATACATGTCTCAGCATTGCAATGTTAGCAGATTTTTAGAGTCTCTTACCTGACCTATAGAATTTTACTTGTATCTCCCATGTTTTATCCATGCACATATTTGACCTCACTTAAAGCATTTAAAGCTGGTTTCACATTTTAATTGGAAAATAACCATGAGAAAAAGCAAACTGGATGTCTGTTTTGTGAGTAGATATCCTAGCTGGACGGCCTGCCCTTCCTTTGTGCTTGCTGACCTCCATACTTTGCCAGAGGACAGCTCTGTCTTTTTGGGTATCTTCTTATTGCTTAAATGAAATTACCTTTTTTTTTTTAAATTTCTATATATTTTTGTTGTTGTTCAAGTACAGTTGTCTCCATTTTCTGCTCCATTTTCCGGACACCACTTTCCCCAGCCCCACCCACCCCCACCTCCCTCTCTCAGTCCTCACCCCCTGTGGTTTTACCCATAGGTCCTTCATACATGTTCCTTGATGACCCTTCCCCTTCTTTCCCCTATTCCCCCCACCCACCCTCTGGTTACTGTTAGTTTGCTCTTTATTTCAATGTCTCTGGTTCTACTTTGCTTGCTTGTTTGTTTTGTTGACTAGATTCCACTTATAGGTGAGATCATATGATATTTGTTTTTCACAGACTGGCTCATTTCACTTAGCACAACACTCTCCAGTTCCAACCATGTTGTTGTGAAGGGTAGGAGGTCCTTCTTTCTTTCTTTCTGCTGTGTAGTGTTCCATTGTGTAAATGTACCACAGTTTTTTGATCCACTCATTTACTGATGGGCACTTAGGTTGCTTCCAGCACTTGGCTATTATAAATAATGCTGCTGTGAACATTGAGATGCACAGGTTCCTTTGAATTGGTGTTTCAAGATTCTTAGGGTATAATCCCAGCAGTGGAATTTCTGGGTCAAAAGGCAAGTCCACATTTAGCTTTTTGAGGAAATTCCACACTGTTTTCCACAGTGGCTGCACCAGTCTGCATTCCCACCAACAGTGTACTAGGGTTCCCTTTTCTCCACAACTTCTCCAGCATTTGTTGTTTGTTGATTTATTTATGATGGCCATTCTGACAAGTTGAAGTGATATCTCATTGTGGTTTTAATTTATATCTCTCTGATGGCTAGTGATGATACCTAATATTTTAACAATTAAATTTAATGCGGTTGCTACTTTTCTATGCTTTGAGAGTGTTTGAGGCATCTCATGTTGCACCTTGGTCTTTTCAGTCTCTGTCCCCTCTTTGTGTTACACATCGCACTTATCTACAGGATGTCTCTTATGCTGGCCCATTTGTTACAAAAATTATTAATCAAATTCCCAGTGTTTTCAAGCATGTTTGAGATGTTAAGAGTCACTGGCTACACTGGTAAAACATATTTATTTCTGGTTAAGCGGGTGGAGTAGGTAAACACTGTGTTTGCCTCCTCCCAGGACCACATGAAAATTACAATGAAACTACACAACAATCATGATTTATAATCACTTTATATCTAACTGAACACAAGTCCTATAACTAAAGATCTATAGAAGAAGCCACGTCAAGACTGATAAGAGGGTTGAGACGTGAAATGAGTTGGTCCCACACCACCATGTGTCAGTAAAAATCCAGAGGGACATCTCCACAGCAGAGGTCCCCCGAGGAGCCCTGCGCCATGCTCCCTAACTAAGGGTTTCAGTGTAGGGAAACAAAGTCTGCATAACTTTTAGCTGTGAAAACCAGCGGGGTTTGCGGCTAAGACAGAGGGCTTCTGGAAACCCAAGATTTCCTCGTAAAGGGCCCACACATAGACTTACTTGCTGATGGCAACAGCTTGAAAAGTGCAGCTGGGATATTCAGAGGAGAAACTGAATTGTGTGGCTTCAGGGTGAGGGCTGGAGAGTCGGGTTTCTCCCAGACAAATTGCTGTCAGAAACATTTGTTCCTTTATTAAATCCCTCACTCCCCAACCCTGCAAGAGAAGGCAGGCACTGTTCATCCTGACATGGTGATTCCCTGAGATCCTGCCTCACCCAACTTGAGAGCCCACCCAAAATGTTCCCCGTGGTATTCCCATACAAACAGCATGCCTTGGTTTGTGCTGAAGACTTTCCTAAAATCTCTCAAAGTTTTACAAACCCCAAACAGGGAGTGTGTCTCAGAATGCCCAGTACATCTTGTTAAGCAGCACCAAGACTGAAAATAGTGGCAGCCAACCACATTATGTAGTTTACCCTCTACTAAGCACCTCCCTGCCCATTACAGGTGGCAACAATCTGCAGATCACTTTGTAGCTCATACCAGGCAGTGGCTCATGTTGGCCCACCCAGAGCCCCCCTCAGGAGGTTCCAGAATCAGTATACCTCATGGCCAGCTTCAGACCACAGCAGATACCACCCAACTAATTCTACAAATGACATACTGAAGTGGATTAGCAGGCCCCAGAGCCCTGTGAGTCTTGTTCAAAGGAGCTGCACAACAGCTTCTCCACTGTAGTCATGACCAACCCTTCCAGCCGATCAGCTGAAGAGTCATTCTCTCCAATTAATATAGCAACAGAAATCAAGGCTCAACTGTAAAAAGAGTACTCACACAACCCAGACAAGGGCCACACCTGATGCACCTGGATCAGGTGACCAGGAAGACTGTGTCACTGACCCCTCAGGACTGCCTAGGCTATTCTTTACCGAGAGAAGGAGATGTAGTGGCTCTCCCTAATACACAGAAACAAACACAGGGAGGCAGCCAAAATGAGGAGACAAGGAAACATAACCCAAATGAAAACACAGAACAAAAGACCAGAAAAGGAACTAAACAAAAT